ATCAGAGACTGTTGTTAGAGGGAGCCTCCTTATCAGAGACTGTTGTTTGAGGGAGCCTCCTTATCAGAGACTGTTGTTTGAGGGAGCCTCCTTATCAGAGACTCTTGTTTGAGCCACCCACAAGATCAGTGACTCTTGTTTGAGCCACCCACAAGATCAGTGACTATTGTTCGATGGAGCCTCACTATCAGAGACTATTGTTAGAGGGAACCTCAAGATCAGTGACTATTGTTAGAGGGAGCCCTATTATCCGAGACTATTGTTAGAGGGAGTCTCACTACCAGAGACTGTTGTTAGAGGGAGCATCCTTATCAGAGACTATTGTTCGAGTGAGCTTTATTATCAGAGACTATTGTTAGAGGGAGCCTCAGGTTTAGGGACACCTTGTAAAGAGGGATTCTCCCTCTGCACTGCCTTTGAGACTGGAATGTTTTCTAAAATCTCTCTTTTCTCTCTTTCCTCTCCCCTCTGGTCCTAGCTGTTCCGTGTTTCTCCTGGAGCAGGACAATAAGGAGCTGGTTGCAAAGGTGTTCGATGGGGGCTTTGTAGCTGACGAGGTGAGACTGCGTACTGTGTCTGGGCTGTGGCTGAGGGCTTCACAATCAACACAACATTACTGAGGTTGCTGTGTGTGGTTGGAAACGGTCGACTCTCCAAAATAGTTAAATCTAGGACAGACATGGGGTCATGACTTTGATGATTTTTGACAGGTTTGCTCATGAGATGTAGACATGCCAGCATTTATAGCCCCACCCCTAATTGCCCAGAGGGAGTTAAGGGTTGACCAGATTGCCGTGGGCCTGGAGTCACATGTAGGCCCGATCGGATTACTTCCCTAAAGGATATTTGTGAACCAGCTGGGTGTTTGTAACAGTGAGTACACAGTTGCCGTGTGGTAATATCACTAAACAAATAATTTGGAATGGAAGACCATTATTCTGAAAACAAGGGTTCAAATCCCACCTAGGCAGATGGTGAAATTTGAATTCAATAAAAATCTGGAATTAAAAAGCTAACTTAATGGTAACCATATAATCACTGCCCTCTAGGTATTTGGGGATGGCCTAGCCAACACCCTCCCCCCGTCAACAACACATTAATTATGGATAACTTTGATTTTCATGTAGATTGGGATAGTTAGATTGGAAAAAGTAACCACAAGGAAAAATTCATTGAATCTATTCAGCCCAGTTTTCTAGAACAGTATGTCATGGATCCAGCCAGGGATCAGGCTAATTCATGTCTGGTGATGTGTCATGAGGCAGATTTAATAAATGATGTCAGAGTAAAAGGAAATAGTGACCATAACATGGTAAAATTTAGAATTCAGTTTGAGAATGAGAAATTTGGGTCAGAAACAACTATGCTAAACTTAAATAAGGGTAATTACAAAGGAATGAGGGCAGGGCTGGCTGGAGTGGACTGGGAAGGGGTATAGCAGCAAAGATGGCAGAGAAACCGTGGCAGATGTTTGAGAAAAGTTCATTACTCTTGTCAAGGACATAATCCAGTGAAAAAGAAGGATTTCTGAAAGGGAATACACTGGCCATGGTTAACCAGAGAAGTGAAGGAAAGTACAGACAATGATTACTAGAGGCCAGAGGACTGAGAAAGTTTTAAAAGCCAACAAACCACCAGAACTTTAATAGAGAAAAAATAAACTAAAAGGATAAACAATGAGTATTGTAATAACGGACAGGAGAACCACTTTAAATATATAAAAAGGCTAAAATGTACTATTGCCCAGTTAATGGATGACACAAAAATAGATGGGAAAGCAGGTAATGAGAATGATAGAGGGATATTGACAGGTTGAGTGAGTGGGCGAAAGCCTGGCAAGATGGAACATCATGCAGGAAAATGTGAGGCCGTGCACTTTAGCAGGGAGAATAGTCGAGCTAAATATTAATTTAATGGACAAATACCGCAGAAAGCTGCAGTTACAGAGCAATTTGGGAATCCTCATCCATGAATCACAAAAAGCTGTGGGTAATAGGGAAGGCAAATGGAATGTTGCTAACCACAGCTGGAATACTGAGAAGAGATTTGGGCCCTTTATCTAAGGAAAGATAGACTGGCGTTGGAGGCAGTCGAGGGAAGGTTCACTTGGCTGATTCTGGGTATGGAGGGATGTGTTTATGAAAGCAGGTTGAATAGGTTGAGCCTGTACTCATTGGAGTTTAGAACAATCAGAGGCGATTTTATTGAGTGATGTAAGATTCTTAGGGAACTAGACAGGGGAGATATGGAGAGGTTGTTTCCCCTTGTGGTAGAGTCTAGGACCAGAGGACATCATCTCAGAAAAAGTGACTATACTTTTAAGACAAAGATGAAGAGGAATTTCTACTCTCAGAGGATAGTGAATCTGTGGAATTCTTTACTGCAGAGGGCTGTCAAGTTTGGGTCATTAAGTATATTCAAGGCTGAGAGAGACAGATTTTTAATCAGGAAGGGAAACAAGGGGCATGGGGAAAAGGCAGGAAGGTGGAGTTGAGGATTATCAGATCAGCCGCGATCTCACTGAGTGATGGGGTAGACTCAATAGGCTGAATGGCCCACTTCTGCTCTACCGTTTTGCGATCTTCTGGTCAAACTCACTTCCTGAATTTAATAACTTTGGTCATCTGAATTAAAGTGACCATGAACCCTGCTGTATTGTCAGAAATACAGCTGAAATTATCCATGTGGTGTTGTGCTCTTCCTCTCAGGAATGTATGAGGTTCATTCAGCTTCTCTCATTATCTTTCCATTCATTCTTTTCCTTGTGTGCCCTCTCTTTTCTTTCCCTCTTCCTTTTCCCCTCTCTTTTTCCGTTCCTATCCTCCCCTTTATCCATTCCCTCGCTCCCTCTTTCCGCCACAATCTGGGGACTTGTGGGGCAAGAATACAATCGATCAGAGTCAATTAATTTTTAACAGGGTTGAGGCTGAGAGTTCATTTTGCTGGCCCAGGAGCTGAGAACATAGGGAGATAGCCTCAGGATAACAGGCTCATCGTTGAGAACTCAGATGAGGAGACATACCTCTCCTGGGAAGGTTTTTGCAATTCTCTCCATTAGAAGGTTGTGGAATACTCCGTTATAAGGAACATTCAGAATTAGAATTAAGGTTTGTTGTCACGTGTACTCAAGTACAAAAATTCAGGAGTACAGTGAAACTGGTATAATGTCACCACAAACAGCACCACCTTAGGTACAAAGTACCTCGTCACAAACGTTAGGTACTAAAATAGATTAGGTGCAAAAATAGAGAAATAAAGAGAAAAGCTAAAAGTTCTACATTACAGTGCTTCGTAGTATAAATTAGGAAGATGAAGAAATAAAGTTAAAAGATAAACATTACAGTCCTTCTATGACAACAAGGTGCAGGGCTGGATGAACACAGCAGGCCAAGCAGCATC